CCCCCCTCACCGCCGGTCTGGGCGTCGAAGCGCTTGGTGGCGATGGCGTCGATCTCGTCGATGAAGATGATGGCCGGGGCGTTCTCCTTGGCCAGGCGGAACACGTCCCGCACCATCCGGGGACCCTCCCCCAGGTACTTCTGCACGAACTCCGAGCCCACCACGCGGATGAAGGCGGCTGCAGAGCCCCCCCCCCCAAAAAAAAATGACCATCAGGAACCCAAAAATACCATCAGGGACCAACGGGGATCATCAAGAACCCGTGGGGACCATTAGGAACCCAAAAAGATGACCAGGAACCAAAAACGACCACCGGGAACCCAAAAAGACCAACAGGAATCCATGGAGAACATCAGGAATTCATGGAGACCATCAGGAACCCAAAACTCCACTGGGAACCCCCCAGGAACCCAAAATACCACTGAGAACCCACCAGGAACCCACAGGGACCACCAGGAACCCAAAACTCCACTGGGAACCCCCCAGAACCTCAAAGGGACCTCCAGGAACCCAAAATATCATGGGGAACCCACAGGGTCCACCAGGAATCCATGGAGACCACCAGGAACCCAAGAAAGACCATCAGGACCCCAAAAAGACCACCAGGATCTCAGGGGGACCATCAGGATCTCATGGAGACCACCAGGACCCCAAAAAGACCACCAGGATCTCAGGGGGACCATCAGGAACCCAAAAAAGACCATCAGAGACCCAAAAACACCATCAAGGACCTAAAAAGACCACCAGGAACCCAAAAAGAACACCGGGAACCCGCCAGGACCTCAAAGGGACCACCAGGAACCCAAAATACCACTGGGAACCCACCAGGAACCCACGGGGACCATCAGGAACCCAAAAAGACCACCAGGATCTCATGGGACCACCAGGATCTCATGGGACCACCAGGATGTCATGGGGACCATCAGGAACCCCAAAAAGACCACCAGGATCTCGTGGAGACCATCAGGAACCCCAAAAGACCACCAGGAATCCTAACAGAACACCAGGAACCCAAAATCCCACAAGGAGCCCACGGGGACCACCAGGACCCCAAAAAGACCACCAGGATCTCATGGGACCACCAGGAACCCACCAGGACCTCAAAGGGACCATCAGGAACCCAAAAGACCACCAGGATCTCGTGGGGATCATCAGGAACCCACAGGGACCACCAGGAACCCCAAAAGACCATCAAG